GGCCTCTGCCACCGCAGCAGAGTCAGCAGCCGGGGCGGCCCCTCAGGTGTTCTGGTGGCTGGGCCTTCCTCTTCCAGGGAGCGCGCTCGGCTCTGCCTCCCCAGGCCTACGGTCAGAGGGGTGGCAGGGCCTGCCCCCCAGGGTGCTTCAGGGCCCAGGGCCTATGTAACCCGGGGCTGCCTCGGACTCCTCCCTGTCTTGAACCCCGGTGGTCAGGGGGGCAGCGGGGGGGACAGGCCTGAAAGAAGTGGAGGTGATGAGGGCAAGGGGAGGTCAGAGCTGGCCTGCAGGGAGGGCTGGGGCTGAGCTCGGCAGACCCCCACGGTAGACCCCCCAGGCGTCGCAGTGAAGTTAGATGGCTGGTGGGAGAGGGCAGGGCCACGTCGAAGGGCATGTGTGGTGGCACATGGACAGACGTGGCCCAGCGCTCTCTCCTGGAAGCTGTTCTCAGCCGTGGCTTTGGGGACGACCGGGACATGGGCTGATGTGCTGAGCGCCTTGGAGCGGGGCCGCGGGACGGGCGGTTCTGGCCGACCTCTGGGGATGTCGAGGGCAGGCGGGGGGGACAGGGCCAGCGAGCCCCACCCGTGGGGCCTTGGCGTGGCGCAGGCCCGGCTCCGTGTCGGCATCATGCCTGGGAACCTCACCAGCTCAGGCTCCCATGGGCACTGAGGAGCATGCTGAGCAGGTGTCTGGGCCGGGCTCACACGCCTCCCCGCACGTGTGCTCAGGCCCGTGCAGATGCCCCCCAGGCCTTGCCGGCGGCTCGGGCAGAGGAGTAATGTTCAGGGCGCCTTTTACCTCTCACGCTGCGGGGTGGGGGGGGTTTCAAATCCGGTGGTCGGGACCCACCAGAGGCGTCCCTGGTGCCTCTTTCAGAAAGAGCAGATAATGGCCTTCCTCACGGCGCGTGGGGCGGAGCCGCGGTCACCACGCCTGTGTGCGCAGTCCCGGCACGTCTCGGGGACTACCGGCAGTGCTTCGTGTGCGGCCCCAGCTCGCAGGCACAAGGTCGTGGAGGTGGGTGGGAGCCTCCTTCCCGTACGGTGTCTGCGCGGGCAGCTCCTCAGCCACACCGCCAGGCTGAGGACTGTCGGCAGCACCGAGCACGTGCCGTGCGACCAGGGACGAGTGAAGCAAGCCTCAGTCTTTGCCCACTGGCCGTTTCGGGAGAAAGGACGCAGCACACTCTCAACTCGGGACCACACACTAATGTGGGCAGGATCAGACTGCTCCTGGGAGGCGTGTGGGGCAGCCACCTGAGCATCGTAAGGAACCGGCCCCAAAGGGGAGCCAGTTCCTGGGTTCTTAGACAGTATTCACAACGAAACATCTGTGTGTCTAATTATGACCGACACTCGGTATTTTACTTAAATACCATCTCTAGGAACAGAATTGAAGGTAGTTCAACTTCGTACGTCGGTCTCCTATGAATCTCCAAGCCACAGTTTCCCAGCAATGTCTCACATGAACACTTAGGACCTGCAAAAGCAGTGGAATGACCCAGGCCTAAACTTTGTCTTTAAGAAAACATTCTGTGGGGACCAGCAGTTAGCGTAATGGCTGCGTCGCTGGACTCCCACGTAGTCGACCGCGGTTCAAGTCCCGGACCTGGTGGCTTAAACTCACACCGGGCGCGTGTGCGTGCGTGCCCAAGGTCCCAAGAGGAGAATGGAGGAGAAGGGATTGCGGCGTGGCCCTTCTCCCAGGGGGTGATTTCTTACTATCTCTCTGTCTGTCTGGCAAGCCCAAGCACCCTATAGCAAAAAAAAAAAAAAAAAAAAAAAACAAAAAAATCCCTCCAAAAAAAAAAAAAG